TTACCTTTAAAAATTTTATGCTATGAGAACCGATGTATAGTTTTAATTTCTTAATAATATAATTATCTATTTTATTACATTACTAATTGATTTACTTATAAAATTCAATACCTAGCGAAAGATCAGCTTTACCAAAACCAAAAGTATACAAAAGAAAAGAACGTATTGAAGATAGTTTAAATAGTTCGACTGTAAGAGAAATGGTTAAATGATAGTGAAATAATTTAGAAGAGGATGAAGAAATATCAGAAGAAATATCGGAAGAAGAAGAAATATTGGAAGAGGAGGAAGAAATACCAAAACTAAAAAAATATACTTGTATTAAAAAAGTGCCACGTGATCTTTTAAAAGGCATTACATGTAAGTATATAACTTGAAAACTAATTTCTAAGAATTTCAGTATCCTTAGTTCTTAATAGATTAGTTTTTTTTAAAAAAACTTTTGTCATTGAACATGTGCTGTTGCTAAAAAGCTATTTGGCTAGTGAGGATTACAATTAGAGATTGTACCTGCTAAGAAATTTTCTATCTAGATACTATTAAATTATCCGGTTATCCGGGTAACTTATTATGACTATATAATAGAAATGTCTACCCAGGTACAATCTCTAATTATAACGTTAGATACTGTGGTAGTGGCACACCCATTCATCATTGGTATTCAAGTTCTGATAGTTTAGTTTAGTTCTTAGTTTAGTTTAGTTTTTTTTTTCCTGATACCAAGTGGTTTTTAATATTGATACATACTAAACTTTTGTAATTAAATATACTAATATATAAGCAAAATATTAAATTTATTTTAGAGAGAAATCAACTTAATCACAATGAGATTACGACCTGAACATTATCTAATGCTTGATAAAACCTTTGAGGATCAAAGAGACTTGGTTAAAAAATCTGTACTTCCACGAATTACAAATGCCTTAGACAAGGAAACATTTCCAGTTGTCGATAGTATAATCTATAAGATGCTACATCGACGTTATCAACATCAAAGAGATGAATTTCTTAACAGCCAAAAGTCACCAACCGAAGTAGAAAATAATAAAAGAAGAAAACATAAAAATAGTCGTAGAGATTCAGTAAGTAAAATATATTGTTAATCTAACTAGAGGTGTCGAACAAACTCAGACAAAGGCCCAAATAAAATTATAACATTTTTACTAATTTGCATAATCCCAAGTATACCAATACCAAAAATGTGTACAAGGTTGGCTCCTAAACTATGAATCAAATTTCAAGATTAGGTATAAT